GGCTGGAGTACAATGATGTGGTCCCAGCTCATTGCAGTCTCTGCCTCCTAGGTTCAAGTGACCCTGCCACCTCAGCCTCTCAAGTAGCAGGGACTACAGGTGTGCACCACTATGCTCAGCTAATTTTTTTCTTTTTTTTTTTTTAGACAGAGTCTTGCTCTTTTGTCAGGTTGGAGTGCTATGGCGTGATCTTTGCTCACTGCAACCTCTGCCTCCTGGGTTCAAATAATTCTCCTGCCTCAGCCTCCTGAGTAGCTGGGACTACAGGTGTGAGCCACCACGCCCTGCTAATTTTTGTATTTTTAGTAGAGACGGGGTTTCATCATGTTGGCCAGGTGATCCACCTGACTTTGTGATCCACCCGCCTTGGCCTCCCAAAGTGCTGGGATTACAGGCGTCTGCCACTGCGCCTGGCCGCTCACCTAATGTTTTTATTTTTTTGTATAGATGGGGTCTCGCTACGTTGCCAGAGCTCAAACTCCTGGACTCAAGCAATCCTCCCATCTTGGCCTCCCATAGTGCTGGGATTACAGGCATCAGCCACCACACCCTGCCCCTAAGGTGTTTTTGCTGAATGTGACTGTGTCAGTGGCAGGAAAAGGAAGCATCATGGGGTCAGGAAAGGAACACTAAGCAGGGAGACAAAGATAATGGGATCATTCTGTGAGTGTTTGCTGTGTGGCAGTTCTCCGAGCCAGCCTCTCACGTGACTGAGACCACTGTTCCCATTTCCCAGATGGGATCATGGAGCCTCAGAAAGTTTCTGCAGCACAGCTAGTGGAGTTGAATTTGAACCCAGCTTTTCCAGACTCCAGAGGGTAATGCTTCACAACCATCCCATTTTCCGGTGTCTCCTAGACCTAGTCATTTGCAATTCACCTTCATGATTTTACCATTTCTATGTGTCATAGCTACTGTTATTTACTTAATAATTCCTTTTGAATCAGTCTACTTTAAAAAAATATAGCTTCGCCAGGCAAGGTGGCCACGCCTGTAATTCCAGCATTTTGGGAGGCCGAGGTGGGCTGATCACGAGGTCAAGAGCTCGAGGCCATCCTGACCAACACGGTGAAACCCCGTCTCTACTAAAATACAAAAAAATTCAGCTGGGTATGGTGGTGCATGCCTGTAGTCCCAGCTACTCCGGAGGCTGAGGCAGGAGAATTGCTTGAGCCCAGGAAGCGGAGGTTGCAGTAAGTTGAGATTGCGCCACTGCACTCCAGCCTGGCGGCAGAGCAAGACTCTGTCTCAAAAAA